GACCCGCTCCCGGACAGGGCTCCGGGAACTCGCCTGCTCCGCCCTCCCGCTGCAGCCCCGGGCCCGAGGGACGTGTCCGCTCCCCGGAGCAGCGCGGGGGTGCCCGAGGGCTCCGGGGTCCGCGCTGCTCCCGGGCCGGGGCACGGCTCTCCCTGCCCGGAGGGTTGCCAGGGTCTGAGGGGCGCAGGGCCGGGGCATCGGGAGCGTGTAGGAGCCCCGGCGCTCTTTGGGTGGTAACTGTTTTGAAGAGGTTAAATACGGATGTGCCTTATAATGCAATATAACCCTGACACGGGCAAGAGGCTCCTGAAAGCCCCGGCAGTGAGAAGCAGTAAGGTAAGGATTCCAAGTCACTGTCTGTCCTTTTTTCTTTTTAATAGTGGTCAGCCCTATCTGATTTCATGCAAACACTGAGTACCTGAAACGCTGAAGGGAATGGGACGTGCTGGTTTTGTTGCTGCCTCTTAGAGACAGTGGAAGGAGAGCATTACAGAACAGACTTGCAGCACTTCAGACTGTAAAGAGGCACCTGGGAGAATTGTCTCCAAAAGAGGCTCTTTTGTTTAGAAGTATAAAGGATGTCCCCAAATGGAGCACGTTGGCTCCTAGTCTGGTCTCCAGAAGCAGCTCTTACAGACAGTAAAACTTTTATTTTGCATTATTATTGTGTGTATGTCATTTTTTAATGTTTGCTTTTCTTCTAACAGCGCAAGATCAACCTTTAACCTGCTGTAACCTCCAGACCTACTTTGCTGTTGCCTGGCCCCACATTTTCATTTTCTGTCTCTACAGATGATTGTTTTTCTTGACATAATTTTGATCTTAAACATTAGTAAAAACGTGGAAGTGTGTGTGTGTGGTGCTGAAGGCAGACTGCAGGGATCACTGCCTCACTGCAGGCCTTTCTTTGTTTCATTTTAATGAGCTGTTACCTTGCTGTTCAAACAGCTGTGCAAATGGCTTTGCTTCTCTATTGCTGATCAAGTGTTGACCTGAGGTTGCAAAATGCTGTTCCTTGGAATATTGCCAGTCTGAGCAAGCTGAGGCAGACTGAGCTTCCACGTCCTATGGATGTGTGTGGGTTTTTCAAGGTAGAATAAAGTGGAGCCTATTTTCACTTAGAGCAATTCTTTAAAAGTCCTTCCATGCCTTGGCCAATCAACACAGCACTTGTTCCTGCCCCAAAAGCTTGAACTTTATTTTCTTGGAGCCACAAAGCAAGTTTCTCTGGTTTCCTTGCTGCTTTAAGCATATGCCCATTTAGTCACAGACAGTGACTGTACTGCTTTTATTTTTTTATTTTTCTAGAGATGATACTCCTCACGTCCCTGATGAGAAGCTTGGAGAGGAAAAAGTTCTGCACATAATAGAAAATCTGACCTCTCTGATAAAAGAGACATTTCCAGGTAGGATTTGAGGGGATGAGAAGGAGAGAGGAGCACAGAGTGTCATGGGAAGAGCTTTACTAGGGTGGAGAAATCACAGAATTGGGAAAGGGAAAGGCACAGAAGAGCTGTGGTCATCAGGACTTCTTTGTCCTCTTCCAAATTGCTGTGTGGCACGAGGTGTGTCTGAACGGAGGCGTCTGATGCGTGCTTGTTGCTTCAGCTGAACTCAGAGAAAATAAATGTTTCTGTAATTAGTCATTAAGACAGAAAAGGCTGCAAGGTTTCCTCACACTTAATTCATGTCAGCAGTGGGGCAAGAGGCATTATTGATGGTGAAAGCTGACTGATTGAGCTGTAAAGCTGTAGCTCTGGGGTGGCTTGTCCTTGCAGTGTTGTACCCCTGGTCACTGCAGCTACAGGGCTGTGCTGGGGATGTTTCACTTCTGGAAAGTCCTCAAGCTATGCAGTGCTTTGCCAGTCTGCAGGTATCTTGGGAACCTTTGGTGCTGAGGAACTCTGAAGCAAGTGTGTGTTCTTCTGTGCCTCTTTCTCTCTAGATACTAAAGTCTACGCTGCAATGGGCAACCATGACTTCCACCCCAAGAATCAGTTTCCAGGGAGGAAGCACAGGATCTACAACAGAACAGCTGAGCTGTGGCGTCCCTGGCTGAATGATGCTTCCATTCCTCTTTTCAGAGCAGGTGTGGCACCACTGATTCATGTTGGCAGCACTTGGGAGGTGGGAGTACTTAGAATACTTAAAATAATTTTCCCTGCTTCTGTGCTCAGAGCAACAGTATTTGTAGAGTACATGCAGAGGAACAGTCCCATTTAATGCTGATTTCTGGCACTGAGTTTTCCTGCCTGTGAAAAAAGGAATTTCTTTGTGCCTTAGTCTCTCCTGCTTCCCTTGAGATAATGGAAAGTGTCCCTATGGAGGCTGCAGGATGGTGAGCTCCAGTGAGCTCTCTACAGCTGCCCAGCTCCTGGTGCTTGCACACTGCAGGGTTTCCCTTCACCTGGAGAGGCATAAGCAGGGCAAGAGGTACACGTGGGGAAGAATCACTCCAAATCCCATTCTGGAGTGGTCAGAGTGCTGCTGGCATCTTGTCCAGACAGTGGCTCTGCTGTGACTGTCACCAGGAAGAGCCAAGAGACATGGAAACCATGGGCTCACAGCAGCCGGTGTGACCAGATCTCCAGCTCTTTCTATACCGATTGCTTTTTTCAGGAGCTTTCTATAGTGAGAAGCTGCCCGGCACAAATGCAAGGGGGAGAATGGTTGTCCTCAATACCAATTTGTACTATGACCAGAATGACGAGACAGCTGGTGAGGAAGATCCTGGAGGGCAGTTCCAGTGGCTGGAAGAAACACTGACCAATGCCTCTAGAGCAGATGAAATGGTATTAAAATAAATGAATAAACAAACTTTGTAAAGGACTTCTCCCAGCCTGCAAGCTCTTCTCACTCCTGCTCTCACCCCTCTGTAGTCACAGCAAACCAGTGCTCTGTGGGACGTGTGGGCTTTGCATTCAGTGCAACTCTTCACTTTCGTAGGTCTACCTCGTGGGGCACGTCCCTCCTGGCTTTTTTGAGAAGAAACGGGGCAAGTCCTGGTTCCGGAGCCGCGCGAATGAGCGATACTTGGAGATCGTGCAGAAGCACCACACAGTGATTGCTGCCCAGTTCTTTGGGCACCATCACACAGACAGCTTCCGAATGTTTTACAGTGATACAGGTACCAGTGCTGGCTGCCCAAGAAACATTTGCATGGTAGCTCTGCCAGCCCCCAGGAAGTCCTTGTCAATGAGAGTTTTCAGTGGCTGTTTGCTGAAGGCAGCTGAGAAGCCAGAAAAGGCTTGTGAAAGGCTTTGGTCAACACAAGACAGCAGGGGTCCTGATCTCCAGCCAGCCTGTAGCTCCAGCCCTCTTTCCTGTTTACCCTCAGATTTTGTCATTTCCTCTCAATGTCCTGCTCCCTGTTGATGGGTTTGAACATCAGCTGAGATACAAGGGAGCAGTTATGAATCTTTGCATCAGGCTTATGGGTGGTGCCCTGCATGTCCTTTGCCGAGTGTGACTCTTGCACACCATCACTGCAAGAGTCTGACAGCAGTGGGAAGGCTGTTCTCAGCTGCAGCAGCCCTGTGGTCAGTCTCTGGTGCTATTCAATGTGCTGATCTTCGTGTGTGCTGTTGTAACTAGGGCTGGTGACAGAAGTGCTCTTGGCAGTGTCATCGGTTCCTGGGGTGCTTGCTGCAACACAGGATGTGATACAAGCCAGTGTTTTCCATTCATGGGTTGTTTTGCCTTTCTGTTAAGGTTCTCCAATCAATGTAATGTTCTTGGCCCCTGGAGTGACTCCCTGGAAAACAACATTACCTGGAGTGAACAATGGAGCCAACAACCCTGGGATTCGGGTGGTTGACTATGATCCAGACACCCTTCAGGTGTTGGTAGGGCATCCTCATGTGCCTCACACTGCAGTCCTGGAAGAGTATTTTAATTCCTCTGAATGCTTTTAACAGGCAGAGAGCCAAGTGGCTGTGTAGGAGAGTAGCTCAATCAGGATATTTCAGCCTCATGGGTAGCACAAAGATTAAGGAAGAGCATTAGTGAGTAAAGGCAAAGCAAGTGCAGGTCAGCTGGCCCAGGCCACCCACTGGGATGAATTTCCCAGGACAGGCTTTGTTGTGTTCTTCATGTCTTTAGCTACTCTCCTTTGACTCTTGCTTTACTACCCAGGTAACATGGATTGCACAACTTCTCTTTGGGAACTGACAGATTTGTCAAACCCACTTCAGAACCTTCTAACTATCTAGAGAATTATTTGGGTCCTCCCTGCTTGCCAAATTGATTCATCTGTAATGATCTGAATTTGGGGGAACTGAAGGGGCAGCTGGTTTCCTCTGTCACTTCTCTGGGTGTTTGTGCCTTTCTTTGCAAGGGAGAAAGCAGCTCTGTAGATGCTCTGTTTACATATTTATAGCATGAGAAGTGAATGTTAAAATACAAGGCTGGGGAGCTAGTGAAGCAGAGAAAAAGCAAAAGACTGAGAACAGAAGTTGAGAAAACCTTTAGTTTCTTTACAGTTGAGAAAATAACTTAGCAAGTAACACTGATTCTTGCTTCTGCCAATGGATGGTATTGATGGTCAATAAGAGTGATGCTGAAGCAGGCCAGGCTCAGTTCTTCCTTTGACAGTGTATGAACTTCAGCAAGTTTGGGCCATGACTTTCATGTGTCAGTGCCCATAACTTCTTTTTGTTTATTGACAAAAGTCAAACAGAGAAAAGCCATCCCTTCATCTCTTGCAGAACAGAATGCTTTGTGGTGAGTGGAGGCTCTCACCGGAGGTGTCTGGCCCCAGGTTCACATCTCAGTAGAGAGGGCACCTTGAGAGGCAACTCCCCCCTGGCTGGGCAGGGGGCTGTGCTGTGGGGGTGAACACCAGTGTCTGGGAGAAGGGACCCATCACATCCTGGCCAAACACTCCACTCAAGGCCTTGATCCATCCCTGATTGGTCCTTGTTCTGTTTTTCCCTCCCTTCAGGATATGGTGACTTACTACTTGAACCTCACTCGTGCCAACATGATGGCCCCAGCTTGGGAGGAGTTCCCAGCTTGGGAGGAGGAGTACAGGCTGACAGAAGCTTTCCAGGTCCCGGACGGCTCGGCGCGGTCCATGCAGGCGGTGCTGGAGGGGCTGTGGGGGGATCGGCTCCTGCAGCGCTACCACCAGTTCAACTCGGTCAGCTACGACCTCAGCCCCTGCGAGGGGCCCTGCCGGCTGGATCATGTCTGTGCCATCAGGGAAGTTGATTTTACAAAATACAAAGAGTGCACCAGCAGCGCTGCCTCTGCCATCGCCAGTGTTGGGCTTTTATTTTTCTGCTTCCTCTTGGGATGTCTCAGTCCCCAGCAAGGGCTGTGATGAACATGAAGAGAGTACAAGTTCATGACACACGGGTCAGTGTGAAGGCTTTTGGCACTGAGAACTGACTCAGAAACCAAGACAAAATCAATGGCTTTTACTAAAAGCCTATAATGTTGATTGGAAATCTAGAAAAGCTTCATGTATCAGGAAGGGGCTGCAGTCATCTTGTGCCAGATGGACTTGCAGCAGGGGAGTCTGTCCCTTCTGAGAGTCTCACAAATTGGATGCAGAACAGGGCTCCCCGTGGACTTCAGCTTATGATGGGTGAGAGCTGTGAGAAGCCACATGTTCCTGAGGAATGTGTTGCCAGGGGGCTCCTCACATTGGCACGTGTTTCTCTTCTGGAAAGATCATACAACGGGTGACCTGGAAGGTCTTTGATTTGTGAAATCAAACAGGGCTGAAATCAAATCATTGTGAAATCAAGGCTGGTACAGCACCAGCCTTGCCTTTGGTTTACAAGAAAAGCCAGATGGGACTAATTCTTCCTTTGACAGTGTATGAACTGCAGCAGGTCTGAGCCATGACTTTTATGAAGAGGATCCAGGATAAGAATCTTGATTATTATGATGATTTAATCTTTTTGTTATTTTTCCCTCGGTTGCTGAACATAAATAGCTCTTCTGTGCTGCCTTGGCATTCGCTTGCTTTCTGCCTTCAGCTGCCTCTTTCCAGCTGGCCGGGACCCTGAGCGCTTCGGTGCTTCAGCCTCCTCCCGCGGGGGGTGCGGGGCTGGGCGGGCCCGGGGTGCGGGGCTGGGC